CATCAATTTCCTTAAGAGCAGTATTCAACTTGTCTTGCATGTGYTTGATATCTTGCTGTTTTTCTTGTGTTATTTGCTGTGACTGGGCTAAAGTTTCACTCATTCCTTTATGTTCATCTAAGAAATGAAAACACAGATTTCAGAGGTGTGTTTATATAGAGGATATTACATGGGCGCGCAGAGATACGAAATTTATCTTCGAGTGTTGAAAAGATCTCTCACAAGTGAGCACAGTGAACGAGTGAGAGATTTTCAACACAAGAAGATAAATTTCGTATCTCCAAGCGCCCATGTAATATTCTGTTTATCATATAATTATCAATGAAAGTATGTTTTGTCTTTTTCACGCAATACTTCCCGTGTATTTTTGAATAGCCATCGCAATGGTGTTATTTCCACACATGAAAATAACATGTTATTTTCACGTGCGAAGATATCAATTTTTCGAAATAGAGAAATATAGATATTTCATTGGTAATCATATAATAAAAAGGAATACTTGGATTAGCTCAATAGTGGGCTTATAACAGGAGGAACAGGCTATTTTTCAATTTTTTAAAACTAAATAGCTATTTTACGAGGGTAACATAATTAAAGCGTTAAGGAACTTACAATTATTCTAGCCTTTCTTATGTAAATAGCATCTCTCTCTTATATAGCTGTAGTTGTGAATCAAACTATCAATTCATTGCCTGGTGATGTTACACACACACGCACGCACGCACGCATGCACGCACACACACACATCCTTTATTATCTTTCCTCAGAAAGGCTTTTCAAAGATATTTACATATAATATAAAAACAATATATAATCTAGAATCTAAACATGTTCTGACGTTGTAAATTAAAGAACGAAATATTGCATATCGCCTCTGTAATCTACATATTTTGTAGATACAATAATGCAACTACTCGGACTAATGTTCCTACTTTATTGACATAATTAATCTCTTAGTTATCTAACTCATGACCCGTTTCCATTTTTACAGTTTGGATCGAAACTGCTCTGTTCTTTATTTATTTAAAGCATAGAATCTCAGAAGTTAATCTGAGAATAMTATGGCAAGGTTTTCAATAAAATTTTTGGTAGGCGGTTATGAAATTAAAATAGGCAGTAAATTGGAAGTCACTTGAGCATGTAATCAAGGCATACTTGTCACCAGCCTCTCTCTTCTCACAAAAATTCAAGATGGCAGACAACGATCGTCATAGTTTCGATTGCGTTGCAGTTTTTGTAGTACAGCAACAAAGATTGGGTTAAAAATTATTTTAACGAACTTTAAAGAACTTTAATCAAAATTTACAATTGCATTGGGAAGCGGCTAAGTAGGCGGCCGAATTAGCAAGAGTAGATGGCAGAATCTGCTGGTTGCGGGCTTCTATTGAAAACCCTGCTATGGAAGACAAAAAGACCACAAAGCRGCAAATTTCTCATACCTTTAAGCATCATAAGTTCATGATTTAATACTCTTATCTGCCTTCCCATTTCTTCTTC